ATTCACTTTAAAATTTCTTTTTACATTTGAGCCACCTGTGATTTTTTTATTTTTTGAGGCATTTTTTACAATGATTAACAATTTATGAACTAACCTCACATTTTGAATAGTCATTTGAATATATAGGCATTTGCATTGATAGAGTCTGCCAGATTTGCAACTTGCATAATTAACAAGTTTATTAAGGTCACGTTTGGTACCCAGAGAACTAAAACTTCAATAGAATATACCTTTAAATTGAAGCTCAACCTGCATAGGTATTACAACATCGTGAACGGAGGAGTTGTACGTAAAATAACAGATGTCGTATGATAGCCAATTTGACCAATACTTTTATCCGTCAGGGACCAAAGTAATTGATATTAGACCATTTCAACAATTATCTACACCTACAGTTGACAACGACTACGACAGGTAAGATGTAAGTGGTCGTCTCAAAGTAGTAATGGTTAGATATAATTGTAATCAGTAACTGAATTGAAAGGAAAAAATGTTAGCCTATTTGTATTTAACACAACGATATTTTTCTTGTTTTGGTTATAAACGATCTACTGATTTAAATCCTTTAATTTTATTTTAAATTGAGTATGAAGAAGGGTCTAGATGGGGTTTACAGAATAGACATAAATAGGCCAATACTACAGAATCATGGGCAAAAAAAAGAGAAAAATAGGCCCAAAAAATAAAGAATTGAGAATACTGGGGTGCTAAATTATAATAAAGAATAGAGAGTAATGGGGAAAATAAAAGAAGAATAGAGAAAAATGCTTAAAAAAAGTATACAGAGTTGAGGGACCCCATCCAGACCCTCATGATCATGAATGAATAAAAGGGAAATCTTTAAAATTCTATTCTATATTTTTAGAAGATGAGAATCTAGCTACTTTAAGGTAGCAAAATGAAAAAAAAAAGTTGTAAATATGTAAACAGACAATTATTTTATGTCTATTGGCAAGGGCGACACATGTCTATACAAAGTCCGTTATTTTTTTACTCGGATGCCTTCACAATGTATTTATACTTAGTAGGTGTTTTTTATTTCACTCATGCTATATGTTCAACTTAAATGTGTATTCAGTGACAATTTGTAAAGAACATTTAGATAAGGCGAATGTCATATTTTGGTTATATTTTTGCAATTCAAATAACACAAAACAGACTTTGACAATAATGAGAAAGGGCAGGCACGGACAATGGACACGTCACGAATAAAGCTTAAAATCACACAATGCAACACATAAAACTGACATTTAGAGTTACCGCGTGATCTTCGTATTCAGTACCAAGCAGCGAGATCTGAACGGCTCCGACAAAACAAAGAGATAAAATCCAAGGCCGCAGCATAATATTGTAAACTAAAAATTTTAACGAGAAAAGAATATACAATTGACCAACATATTCCAGGGTTTGAAAAGGGGCAAAACTTATGCGGCGGGGGTTTTACTTATTATATAAACGGATCCAAAACATCTCTCTGTTTGGTCAGAGGTGAAATAAAAAAAAAAGGACCGTTGGGACGCATAGTAAAACTAAATAAGAGAAGAAAACCGAAGCGTAGATCAACAAAAGGGAAAATAAATTAAAAAAATCGGGGGGACAAGAGAAAAGTGCAATTTTCTCATAGAAGACCAAAGTTATATGAGAAAACACTGACTCTGTAAAACTGGGATCAACGCAAGTGCTCCGACAGGGTAAGCAGTTCTAGCTTCTTACAACATACTAGACGTGTTTCCCGTGATGAGTATGCCCGGGAACGGAGAAAACCTATCAAAAACAAAGTGACAAGGTCTGATTCATTCGGGAACTTATAACTGTTACAGTCAATTATATTCAATATGTACAACAAGTATAGTGAAGATCTGCTGAGACGCAACCTCTGCAATGTCCACAAGTGTGTTTTGGACGCGTTACGGACAGACAGATAGTCCCGTTGCAATGTCCTATCCGTAACTTTGTTACTATGGGGAGGATAAAATGTAGAGTCATAAAATAACATTCCAAAAACGAGTTAACGGCTATTGGCAAGCGAAGCAGTCTTCCATGGAAAGCTCGTACAACTAGATATCAATAATCATATTAACGAAGAAGCAATAGATTCGGATGTGAATAGATTGCCGATTTTTTTTTTAAAGATTTATAGAATTGAAAGAGAAATGGTTTATAAATATTTTTTTTTACATATGATAAGTATTATATGAAAGAAAGGGGAAAACACAGAAAATCCAGAATAGCTATTTGCACACAATATCCGTTCTTTTTTTAAAAATAATTATACCGTTTAAATCGAATATGTAGTACTACGTTTATGTTACATGCATGTTCTACCTGAATGATTTTTATCTTTGATACGACCCCTCTATTTCTCCTGTAAACTGTAGGTGTCAATAGTCGGTGTCGTGAGTTGTTGAAAAGGTCTATTAACAACTTCAACGATAAGCATAATGCGAGTTAAAGATTGTAAAAATCAGAAATGTGATTAAATATATATAGACACAGGTGCTTGTCACCTTTTTATGTTTCATTTTTTACTTGGAAAATATTCTTTAATATTTCAACTTATTTAGAGTTTTTAACTCTTATCAATGCGATTTAACAATAACGGTGGTTTATATATGCCCCTCTTTCCTTATTTTCCGCCTGTGTGGGAAGCAAGTACAATAATACATGTTTTAGACTCGGGTGTTAAAGGACAAATGATACCTGTAGTTATTTTAAAAAAACTATGCGTAAAATATAAGAAAGAAGTGCAAGATATTCCATTATTAAAACACGAATCATATAAATTTCCGCTAAAACTATAATATAACAAAGAAGATGTGGTATGATTGCCAATGAGACAACTCTTCACAAGAGACCAAATGACAAAGACATTTACAAATATAGGTCACTGTACGGCCTTCAACAATGAGCAAAGTCCATACCGCATAGTCAGCTATAAAAGACCCCGAAATGACAAATGTAAAACAATTCAAACGAAAAAACTAACGGCCTAATGAATGTACAAAAAAATGAACGAAAAACAAATATGTAACACAGCAACAAACGACAACAACTGAATTACAGGCTCCAGACTTGGGACAGGCACATACATACAGAATGTGGCGGTGTTAAACATGTTAGCGGGATACGTCTAGTCTTGTTGTACAGGGTAAAATTGCCTTATATTTTTTAAAGATAGGGTTTCCATGATACGAGCCCCTATCAACATTAGTGTAATATGTATTTGTCGTTTACAAATTTTCAAGAATTATGTTCAAACAAATTTACTTCGTCATATCAATTTTGTGACTTATAATTTTACCTTTGATCTTGTTTCAGTGTCATTTCAATTGAAATGTGTGCAACGTATATGTTATATGCAATTATTGCAAACAAAATTTACTTGTTTGATCATGATTAAAAAAAAAACAACGATTCCTGTCAAAGTACAAATGAAAGCTGTAAACATTTACTGAATAGGATAAAATAGGCGGTAAATGAGACATCGAATGACTGCATGATAGTTCGATAACTTATTTTAGTTTTGCGTAAAACAACACAATCAAATGACAATGGGAGCATTGTTGTAAGACAATTTATAAATCATAAAGAAATGATAATTATTTGTGCCTTGTTATATTGATGGATATTGCTACCATGGAAGTAATATTGAAAGGAATAACAACGTCGTCACTTCAAAGGTTTCATCTGCGTTACCGCCCATCTTTCGATAACTCGTTAATTGGTTTAATATATGGCATGGTAATTGACTCTCGGCATGTGATAGATCAAATCACTGACACTTTTCGGTCATTTTCGTGTTCCCGGAAAATTACGAATAGACCAGTTGTTGTCGTATGTACGTACGAAGTAACCCGAATAGTTCACTCGTTACATTCCGCTGCTGTACGCTACCGAATAGAGTCAGTCATTCAATGTTGATTTTAGCCTATTTTTCCTATTTATGTCTTTTTCGATCTTAATAGTTTAGGCCGACAGTTATCACATATTGAATTTAAGAAAAAGGGTGGATCATTTTCAATTTTAATACTTAAAACCAGTTAATTAAGAAGCCATTTCTGAAAGTTAAGAAGATGAATGTACAAAAAAATATGTGTCGACCCCCTTTTATTAAATACGAATAATCCAAGTCTTTCGTGTATACCAGGCAAATCACATATTCACAATTTTAAACGTTTCTATTCTTTAATTTGTACATAAACAAATTCATATAAAATAAATTTGCGGTTAGACAGATAGCGTCAAGCTCGTTTTGTATGGTTGATTTTCTTTTTGCTGTAACGTGCTACATTAATATTAGTATTCAATTGTAAACACTTTTTTAAAATAGATATAAATTTAACATGTTTACGAACTTATGATCCCGATTTTAATTGTCCAGTTTCAATAACGTAATCAATTACTTGAAAGTAAATATTTTTATAAATCTCGATAAACTTGGCACATTTCAACAGTAAAATATTCTATGTCTACATCTGTCTACATAATTTTGTTCAACATCATGTGAAACCTGATCGATTCATCGGTATTTAACTGTTTTACTCGGGATCCGCTTTTAACCGGAAAATACTTTTAGAACAGTTTAAAACAAACGGTAAAAAGCAAAAATATGCTAATTTAAATACAATTTTCAATGCTAAACTGTTGTAGGTTGAACAATTCTCGTCCGTTTTTTAAGTTTTTTACATCATACGACTTCTTTCTGAAGGTAGAGGTTTTATATGATACAGCGCCACCTTCTTATAAATAATACTCGGATTTCACACAGGTGCATTATAATTACCGGACTCGATAAAATCACGTGACTGATAAGAAATTCCTGATGCCATTTTACAACCGCGGTATCACAGATAGTAACCAAAGGGGTATTGCCGCTGAGACTATAATTGGATAAAATCATATGACTTTAGTACAGAGCTCTGCAGGCTGTTTATACATGCTAATTAGTCGTTGTTATTCCTTTTAAATATTACTTCCATGTTGATACTAGCTGTGGTCTTCTATTGATCTTTTCGGACTAGATCTTTCTGTAAAAGGTGATAATTGTTACACTTAACTGCTGATAAACCCCGTTGATCGGAGGAAGGGCGACATCCCGTCGATGTAATAATATTATCTATCGATTTTGTTTGATTTCATTGGTAATTTGTGTGGCAATTATGACACGTGACTCAGTGATCCTTTGTGTGTAATTTTTTAACTTTCTTTCGCATACACAAGAAAGTTTTTGCAGAGGAAGCTTCATGAAGCACAAGGAGTTCAACATCTCGTGACTTGACTTAACGGATAAGGAAAACAAATATTACAAATATTAGTCAATAGATTTACCATTTCTGTGTGCAAAATAGACGATTCTTTAGAAAAAACAAGCGCTCAAGATGTGTTTTGTGTCAAATATTATGTGGCAACCAATCTACCGATGAAAAAATATTTCTAGACTATTTCCGAAACTTGGACTTTTTATAAAAACGTGATAAACCGCTCGATTACCTTCGGAAAGCTTCCGAATTAAAATTTTATACTGAGGCCGCATAATTAGTATTGTTTAGGCTAAAAATGTGTATATGTGTATTATTTCTATTAGTAACACATAATACATATTGTAGGAAATATCTCTTTTTCTATAATGAATTATGACTCGTGCGTTTCCAGAAGTTTCAAAGAAATACTCAAAGGAAAATATTGTTTTAGGATATGCATATTAACCATCATAATTAACTGATTAATTGTGTATCGGAAACATCCCGAGAATAGAAGATTTTGATGGACAAAGAAATTCACGCAGTACAGAGAAGAGATCAAGAACCGATTTTATAGAATCGATTTTTTTTTATTAACACGAAATTATTAAAATATAATCTCGGCAGACAAAAGGAAATGATGCTTTACACCTTCTATAAAGTTCTCGTTTTGAATTGATTTACATACAAGGCAAATGTAGATGCACCTTACACTTTATAACCCCTATTCAGTTATTTGAATAATGATGCTTTGCTACCTAGATAAACAAACACATTTGCGGATAAATCTACATTATAGAAAAATACATGACAAAGATTTCCATTTGCAGTGGTATACAAAATACATGAATTTGCGAAAGTTTTGAGATGGTCATAAATATATGTAAATTCTAAACTTTGAAAAGGTTTGATTAGGTGTTAATTTATTTTATAAACCGCGGTCTCTCATAACCGCCCATAGGAGGATAAAGCACAAGAAATGTTAGTATTTACTACATGTAAAGACAAGATATACTATATGCAGCGGTTTGTAAATATTTGTAAATGTCGGTCTCTGAATACATTTACATAACATTTGCATACCTCTTTAAATCCGAGATTTCGTGTAGTGATAGCCAATTTTCAAATAAATATATATTGTCCGACACCGTTCAAACATAGTGATAATCATTATGCATGTTCAAACAAACTTCTGAAGGAAAAGAAATCCCGATCTTAAAATGTAATGCATATACAAGAGAGAATTTAATTTGAACACATTTGCTTTTGACTTGCCGAGTAATTTCACCTTTCAGTTTTAACTTGCATTTAAAACATTGTACCTTTAGGTGCACAAATTGTCATGTTCGTGGCCATAAAGTAGATACTAACAAAGGAAACTCTGTAGGTCAGAATGACAAATGCACCGATTATAGATCATGTGGCCAAAAAGATAAACACAAGGAATATAGAGATGATAAAAAGAAGCTTCATAATCGCATCAAAAACATCAAAAAAGAAGTTGCTGATTTGGAGGGTGAGCTTGTACGTGCTTCTGCTTACGAGGCAAAATCTGGTAACTCATTCACAAAAGTTGTAAAGGATAGGCTTAGGAAGATAAACCAAAGAAAATACTCCCAATCCAGTGTTCTGTGAAGATATGTAATGACGCTTACCGTTTCGCAAAACGATAAGTTAGAACTTCCGAAGAAATTTAAGGAGGTCAATACTAAAATCAAAAAGGGAATATGATTCTGATTCCAGCAATACTGACTCGCCGCCTTGTAAAAAAATGTGTACCGTCACTTCGCAGACAGGCAGTTAGGCAGAATATGCACTGTTCTGATTATGTTTATAGAAAAAAGTAAAATAACAAAAATACCGAACTCCAAGGAAAATTCAAATCATAAAGTCCATTATCAAATGGCAAAATCAAAAGCTCAAACACATCAAACGAATGGAGAACAATTGTCATATTCCTGACTTGGAACAGGCATTTCCTTATGTAGAAAATGGTGGATTAAACCTGGTTTTATAGCTAGCTATAGTCCTAATCACTTTCCATTTAATTTTCCGACCTATTATCAATGTAGTTTGTGGTTTTCCGTTTTTGAACCAACAGATGCCAACTGGATTTAACACAGAATTTCAACACATGCAACAAGTAGGACAAAACATGTATAACTGTTTCTCGCCACGCCATAAAATTGCTTTCCAAATACAACAACAATCTGCACCGTTTTCACCAACAATATCCAATCTTCAAATGTTACACCTGCAAGTTCATATGAGGAAGTTGATACACCGAAACCAAAAATTTGGTCACCAGCTTTTATGTGATGGATAAATAAAAAAAATAGACGAGTTAAAACTCCAGGTCATCAAGTGTGAAAAGAAGCAATCTCACGCTATGTCTGCTCTGCTACAAAGAGTCTACATTCTAATGTGCCTGTCCCAAGTCAGGAGCCTGTAGTTAAGTGGTTGTCGTTGGTTTATGTCTGCCATATTTGTTTTTCGTAAATTTTTTTGTTATAAATTAGGCCAGTAGTTTTTTCAATTGAATTGTTTCATAATTTTCATGTCGGGGCCTTTAATCGTCGACTATACGGTATGGGTTTTTCTCATTGTTGAAGGCTGTACGGTTGCCCATAATTGCTTACATCCACTTAATTTGTAACTCTGGTGGATAGTTGTCTCAATGACAATCATACCACATCTCCTTATTTTTATATAAGTACTGCAAGATGTTCAGGTGTATTGTTTGTAATTTTTCTATACGGCAATCAGGTGTTGATTCAATAATTAAACCAAACAAGGCAATAAATTGTAAAAACAAGATTAACTAACAAAAGTAAATTATAGTCAATTATCAGTCCAGTTGTTATGTTTGTCTACTTTCTATACGACTACTAGTAAGACTTGTCACACTAACTATAGAACGACTGCAACTGCGGCCAAGCTTAGCGTAAGGTTGTGCGACATAATCAGTCAAACAAACTTTATTAGATCAACTCGTTAAGGAACGATCGTTGTCATTGGTCAATTCAAACCTTCGACTTCAAATAAACTTTGAATCCCCTCCTAAGTACACCTGTGAAGAAAAAAAAAAACACGCACGTACCATAAACGATCGAAAGTTGAATGGACTGATCACGTACAGGATTGTGTACTTGATTATCACATGGCAATTCTAAATTATATACATCTGCATGTAAAATTTATCTATTATAATATTATAATTTAGTGCAATAGTTCTAAGGTCCTTAATTGTTTTCAATGCGAAGTATTGAATCCAACTGTCTCCTCTCATGTAGTTCTGGACTAACCCCGTGTACCTTTTCTATCTGTAAGATATATATACATCAGTATGTGTTTGCAATGAAACCAAATTAGTAAATATGAATGAAATGCCAGGCTCGATGCTGTTTGATAAACGTAAATGAGACCACAATTAACTACACAAATAACCAAATTACATAATAAAGCTATTGCACGATTTTACAGTAATATATAGGTTTGTGAAATAAACTGTTCACTATTCATATTCTATCGTCAGTATACCACAGCCTTCCTCCTCGACCGTTAAACTAGGCTCACGTCATGATGATACGATGCTTTCGGTCCGCAATTTGCTTTTTGTCCGCTTTTGCTTTTTGTTCGATAATTTTGCTTTTTGTCCGACACTTTTGCTTTTTGTCCGTTGCTTTCGGTCCGTTTTGCTCGTACAGACAAAAAGCAAAAGTGTCGGACCAAAAGCAAAATTATCGGACAAAAAGCAAAAGCGGACAAAAAGCAAATTGCGGATCGAAAGCACCGTATCACACGTATAGTAAACCTTTTTTTTTTTATAAATACGAAACTACATAGAAATATTAAAATGGAATCTCAATGACTAGTTATAAATGATAACTTAAATCTGGGACATAACATATTTACTTGTCCCACCTTAAATTTACATCATTGCATTGCATAATCCAGTAACTTTTAAAAACACGGAAGGTTGGGGTTTTATGGATTTGCCTTGGGAAAGTGTGATTTTTTTTCTGATTCAGTTTACTCTGGGACATAATACATTTTAGTATAACATTCCCAGGTTTACTTGATTTTGAAAAAAAACACCCAAAATTCTAGCTAAATTCAAAGCAGGTAACAATGCTTTGTTAAGAGAAAAATGGAGATGAAAAAACATTGGCCGCAGTGTTACTTTATGTAACTCCGGCGATATAGGTGATGAATTTATAATTATTTGTTTTGCTGTTCTCGGTTAAAAAACAAACGTAAATTGTATATTGTAAATATTTACATCGAAGAACAAGTATTATGTCAATTAACTCACTGTTTGGTAATGAAAAACAATCAGTTTAAAGAAAGTGTGTTTATTCAGTAAATGTATTAATAAAAAGGTGAGTCCCTCCTTGTACATGTATTTTTACAGTTTATTATACATGTGTAATTGTGTACTTCATTTTAAATGAGCATACTATATTTGTTTACCTACAATTTTATGTTTCTCAGTAAATTTATATTTAGTTTTTGGAGAATAAAATATCCATTTTTTTTTATTTTAGTTCATTTATATGTTTTGGAGTTTAGTGTGACGTCCATTTTTACTGAACTAGCACACAATTTTATTTAGGGGTCAGCTGAGGACCACCTCCGGGTGCGGGATTTTCTCGCTGCATTGAAGACCCATTGGTGGCCTTCGGCTGTTTTCTGCTCTTTGGTCGGGTTGTTGTCTCTTTGACATATTCCCCATTTCCATTCTCAATTTTACTTTCTACATGTACTACCAGTATTCTACATCTGAATCCGCTAATGAATTTTCTTTGAATTCTTTGTTTTGATAACATTGTGACTTGTACATTTTAACCACGGCATATAACAGAAATTTTATTTTACTAGGTAATAACTCCTTAGAGACATTAAAAGAGAATTCATTCATAATCAATTGTGTATATATTGTGCTCTATTCTTCCGGTAGGTTCATCTTAGTGTAAAATAAAAAGACAAATAACCATTCAATTAAAATCAAAACAGTCCTTTTAAATTGTTCCCTATAAACTACGACATTTCTCATAAGTATTTATTTATTTTTTAATTCCACACATGCAGAAGCAAAATCTCCTCCAGTGTTACATTTCAACCCATTTTTACACAGACATGCCTTCAATTCATTTTATTTTCGTATTAACCATGATAGTACATTCCATAGTACGTCAATTTTGTTCATTCACTTGCAAAATACGATAATTAGGTCTTTCCACTTTCCCGTGGAAAGACCTATTGGTTTTGTTCTGATTATTTTTTTTTTCTTCCGCCAAATTATTTTCTTGCGCTGTATTTTTGTTTCATTAGACGTCGCTTAGTTTTTTTGTATATAATATCATACAGTCTATACGCTTTTGAAACTGACCCTGTTTAACCGAACACTTTTCTGTGTAAGAGTTATCTCCCCGAACACTGTTTTTCTTGTTATGAGATCTCCTTCGTAAAAGAAAGCGACAAATTTATTTTTCCAAAATGCTCATTATATCCTCAGGATGTTACGTTTTATTTTGACCGAAGCTATCCGGGGACTCCATATGAGTGTTATTCCCCCTTATGTATTTCATTTAAGTGATATGCATTTCTAACTGGTAAACCATAAGTGATAGAGACCTAAGGTCTATTGATTTGAGGTCCTTGATCCAAAAAAAAGAAAAGAAAATTAAGTCAAGATCAGAGGTCAAGGTCATATTCTAAATTCAGATTTGGCTTAATTTCACTTCTTTTCAAAAACCATATAAGATATCGACAACATATTTTTACTAAATTGTTAGAAGCGACATGTCGTAACACATACATTTTGGTTGAAAAGGTACGCCATTGTTTTTCTTATTAACTGTACTCTTTCCGGTGCAAAGGTAAAATATAATATGGAGGACAACTAGGAACACTAATGCACCCTACTTTGTGATTAAAATAACTCTAAATATTACTTCCATGATTAAACTGATAAAACTAGACAAATGGGTAACATTAACATTAAATTGGAGTTTTCTCACCTCTTAGATTTAAAATTACGCGTATGGTGATATAACTCATTCACCATATATAATAAAGACCTAGTGTCTTATGATTTTAGGTCCTTGATTTATGACCTTCAAATTGAGCTCAAGGTCATTGGTAAATTTGACGTTCTAGATTTTGACCTTTGCTTTTACTTCATATGTATACATGATAAAGCCATGGGACTTTATGCATTAAGTTGCAAGCCATATGACCTTGGAAAAGCCAACCGGAAGTGACCTTGTGTAAACCGGAAGTAGCTATTTTTTGTACTTGTGTAATGTAAAAGTATATAGAACCATATATTTTTGGAATCAGTGTCGGGTAAACTATCAAATAATACCGGAAGTGACATTTTTCAAACCGGAAGTAACAAATTATCTTCCTTTTTAAAAAAAAAATGTCTAGAAACCATTTTTTTTTTAAACCGGCGTACAATAAGCTATCATTTGACGCTGGAAATAACATTTTAAACCGAATTTTAATATTTTTGTATCAAAATAGATCTTTTCGGGTGGAAAGACCTTCAATTGTTCTCTGAACAATTGGTTTTTAATTGTCATTGTTTTGTTTCTATCTTTCGGTGAATGAATGGGACAATTTGTTTCGTTTGTGATACGTTATTTATGAATGACCAAACGCTTAGCTACTGTATGTTCGTTTTATAGAATGAAAACAAAAGAGAAATGTGCAACCCATCATGAATTATTATTATTATGAGATTTTTATTACATGTAACCACGACCATAGATACAATAGCCAATGGCTATTATATCTATGCTACGACATTATCAGGACATTAACCTAGGATATAATTGTATCCCGTCAGTGTGAAAGAAATTTAAAAGTGGCTCATGTATTTAATAAATTTATCCGTATAAAAACTTTTTACTATTTTCTGACTAACAGGCTATCTATTCCTTCACTACCGGCGACCCTGTGAAGCCCAGGGTACGAAGATTAACATGTCATAATACCTTAAAGGTAATAATATATATCTAATATTAACTTATCTAAATTGTCTGACCACCTTATACTGATAAGAAAACATATTAACAAGACCATGGCCTTTGCATGTAAACTAACATTCTATACAATGCTGACTGGCTTGATACTCCTTAAGCTATGTAATCAGCCAGTTCAGACAAATGACCAGGCAACCAATATAATTAACACCATTGTTAACCTACATTCGATAAAATCAGTAAACTTCTCAAGCCTTAGAGAAATTGTACAACATCTTAAATCAAAAAGTGTGAAAACATCAAACCAATATCTATTTCTTATGATATTAGCCCTTTCAGGCGACACAGAGCTAAACCCAGGTCCTAGAACACCTAAATGGCCCTGTGGTACATGTGAAAAAGCAGTTACCTGGAGCCAAAAAGCTATCTGTTGTGATACATGTAACATCTGGTACCATGCAAACTGCCAAGGCATGCCATCCCTAAACTTCAAATGCTTGGACTCATTAAATTTATCCTGGCATTGCATACAATGCGGAATGCCAAACTTTTCATCATCAATATTCGACTTATCATCACTTGAAACATCTAATTCATTTGATCCCCTAGAAGACCAATCAGTTGGAAATTTAAACTTACAACCTGCAGCATCTTCAACACCTAAAAAACAGGTATTCAAGAGAACTTGTTGTAAAAAAGAAACACCTCTAAAAATATTGAACATCAATTTCCAATCTATTAAAAATAAACAACAAGAATTACAAGAAATCTTGATATCAACTAAACCTGACATCATCATAGGTACTGAAACCTGGCTCAATAAAGACATATTATCATCTGAATTCTTTCCAGTGATAGACTATACTGTATATAGGAAAGATCGACCTCCAAGCACTAACAATCTTAGCTATGGGGGTGTACTTGTTGCAATAACAACAAACCTTCTTTCCGAAGAAATCAGAGATCTACAAACAGACTCTGAATCCATATGGGTACAAATAAACATGACAAATGCCAGAAAGTTAATTGTTGGAAGTTACTATCGACCCCCATCTGATAATGGCACATCCATAGAACAACTGAAAACCTCACTAGATCGTATCAACCAAAATGCAAAATCAACTATCAATCTTGGTGGCGACTTTAACCTTGGTCATATAAACTGGGATATCCCATGCACCATTCCCAGCAAACCAGATATCAAACTTCATGAACAACTTCTAAACATCATTAACGAACATTCACTTGAGCAGATTGTAAAAAAACCCACAAGGGGAGACAGAACACTTGATCTCATACTAACAAACATACCAAGCATAGTAAACAAAGTGGAAACTATGCCCCCTATCGGAAATGCAGACCACGATATCGTCTATGCAGAATGTGCACTATCTTTGAAACGAAATAAGAAAATAACCCGAAAAACAAACCAGTATAAAAAAGCTAACTGAGAAAACATCAAGGAAGACGTGAATAAACTAACACAAGATATTAAAGGTCATTACCATAGTTCATCCACTAATGACCTCTGGAAACATTCACTGACAGACTACTTACATCAGTCAAGAAAAACATTCCCCAGAAGACAATCACAAACAAGAAAAAACTACCCTGGGTTGATAACATATTAAAAATTATGAAAAATAAAGTTAAAAGACTACATAAAAAGAGCAAAAATGGTCCAGAACAAATGAAAAAATATAAAAACCTGAAAAGAACATTACAACGAGAAATGCGTAATGCCTACTGGAACTACATTGAAAAAATGATATTTGACCTACCAGTAGAAGAACCAGATAACAACATCAGACAAAAACAACCAAAGAACTTCTATACATACATTAAAAGCATGAAAAATGACAACACAGGTATCTCTTCACTAAGAAAAGATGGCAAACTAACATACATCACATCAGAAAAAGCTAACATCTTAAGCAGTCAGTTTCAAAAGGCATTCTCCGAAGAAACATCAAGTGAGCCCATACCGGATAAGGGGAATCATCATATCCAAATATGAAAAACATCACTATTTCAAAAAACGGTGTCATAAAATTATTGAACAAGATTAACCCAAATAAAGCAACTGGCCCAGACCAAATCTGCGGAAAAGTACTAAAAGAGCTAAGTAATGACATCTCAACCGCAATAACATACATATTTCAGAAATCACTAGACACAGGAAAAATCCCAGACGATTGGAAACACGCAAATGTTTGTCCCGTATTCAAAAAAGGAGATAAACACAACGCAATAAATTACAGACCTATTTCACTCACCTGCATACTCTGTAAAATCATGGAACATATTATAGCCAGTAGTATGATGGATCATCTAGAAAATAATAACATCTTATACGACCTTCAACATGGATTTCGATCATCAAGATCATGTGAAACTCAGTTGGTATCATTCATACAAGAACTTGCAAAAAACAACGACAATATCATCCAAACCGACATAATTGTGATGGACTTTGCCAAAGCATTTGACAAAGTTCCTCACAAAAGACTTCTCTCTAAACTAAAATATTATGGCATTGAATACAACACCTTAAAATGGATAGAAGATTTCCTTACATCCCGTACACAAACAGCCATTATTGATGGTGTACAGTCTGACAAAATAAATGTAACATCTGGCGTTCCCCAATGCACAGTTTTGGGTCCTATCCTGTTCTTTGTGTACATAAATGACTTCCATGAATATATGAAACACAGCACCTTACGATTATTTGCAGATGACAGCATAATTTATAAAACAATAAGAAACAAAGAAGACACTCAAAAACTGCAAGAAGATCTAACATTAGCAGCAAAATGGGAGAAGGACTGGCTCATGTCATTCCATCCAGACAAGTGCTCAATCCTTCAGATAACAACAAAGAAACCCCCAATAAATTTTGATTACACATTCCACCATCATATACTGCAAAAAGAAAAATCCACAAAATATCTTGGTGTAACAATACAAACAGACTTAAAATGGAACAAACATATTAATAATATTACAGCTTCAGCCACACAAAAGCTAAACTTTATCAAGAGAAATCTAAAGGTCAATTCCAAAACAGTAAAAGAAAGAGCATATACATCACTGGTCAGACCTGAGCTTGAATACAGTAGCTGCGTCTGGGACCCTCATACCAAATCTCAAACACACCAACTCGAAATGGTCCAGCGCAGGGCAGCTAGGTACACTTGCAACAGATACCCTAACACCAGCTCCGTCAATGAAATGCTACAAACTCTAAACTGGACAACCCTAAAAAAAGGCGAATAAGATCACGCATCATCTTTTTCTATAAAATAATACACCATCTTGTAGCTATTTATCCAACAAACTTGCTCGTCCAATCTGACACAAGAACATTCAAGACAAAATCCACACAATCATTCCTACAGACCAATACAAACATCTAAAGACTCATACAAGTACTCATTTTATCCTAGAACAATATTACAATGGAACCTTCTACCTGTAGCTGCAGTAAAATGTACTACACTAGACTGTTTCCGAGAACAGATCCCAATATCTGTTCTCAACAAACACCTACACATTTAAATTAATATTACGATGTATATAGTTTTAACCAAAATGTATAGTACAAAACAGAAGAAAAAGAAAATAACTTTGAACTTTTATTTGTATATATTTAACTGTAAATATAGAAATTATATATCCCACGCACGCGCGGCATAGTGAAATCAGTGCCCGGCACGTTATCATCAGTATGTTGGAGTGCTGAACTATAAAGAAGAAAAGTGGTACATGTATTTATCCTTATATTTTTCATAATCTGGTACATGATTATTGCGTTGTTTCATAAAGAACATTACTAAATAAAAAAATATCACAAGGATAATCTTTCGACCCCACTATTTGAAAATCAGACAAATCATTTACCAACATTTATTTTAATTCTTTTTACGTTCGTAGTAAAACATAGTACATTCCATTGTCGGTTCACGTGCACACTACGATTGTTGTTGTATTTGAATCTTTCGGCCAATGAAATGGTATGGAAAGCCTCAGCTGTCATATATTAGAGATTTACAAAACGTTATGCTGAAGCTTAAAATGTAAAGTTAAGACAGCGTGATGTTGAATTGATTCACCAAAATGCTAACTCTAAATTACAATATGCTAAGTTGAATTGCGCAATGTTGACTTGCAATGACAAGTGCTTTAGTCGTGATAGTATAATGATAAGTCACGATGTTGTGATGATATGCCAAACACGCGTAACGTTGGGTTTAAAGTACATGATGTAAAGTTGACGTTGCATGATGTTAGCTTGCAGATTGATACTGCTCAGTCATCCATATCGACAGCTATGATAACAAATAAAATGAATAGCTAAAATGTATGGTGCTGACTTGTTATTTATAAATGTTGAGCTGAGATAGTACGATGTTATATCATTGTGATATTACGATTGGTCTATCATGCAATCTGTTGATTTACAACACCATGATGCACAGTTGAAAGTACATGATGTTAAGTTAAGATAACACGATGCTACACCACTATATTGAAACGAAAGGTTTACCATATAATTTGTTGACTTAAAACAACACGATGCAACGTGTTAAGCTAAGATGCTCACTGGAAACTACAGGACGTACAGTTGAAATTTTGTAATGCTAAGCTACGATAGCACGATGTTATATCCTTATAATGTCACAATAGGCTTATTATACAATTTGCTCATTTAAAACTACACAACGTACAGTTGAAAGTACGTGATGTTAAGCTTAGATAGCACGTTGTTATATCATTAGAATGTCACGATAGGCTTACCACACGATATGCTCGTTTAAAACTACACGACGTACAGTTGAATGTACGTAATGTTGAGCTATGATAGCAATATCTTATATCATAATAATATCACAATAGGCTTGCCATACAATATGCTCATTCAAAACTACACGACGTACAGTTGAAAGTACGTGTTGTTCAGCTACGATAGCACGATTTTATATCATTATAATGTCACGATAGGCTTATTATACAATTTGCTCATCTAAAATTACTCCACGTACAGCTGAAAGTACGTGGTGTTAAGCTAAGATAGCACTTTGTTATATCATTAGAATGTCACGATAGGCTTACCACACGATATGCTCATTTAAAACTACATGATTTTCAGTTGAAACTAGGTGATGTTATGCTAAGATAGCATGTTGTTATATCATTTGAATGTCACGATAGGCTTACCCTACAATATGCTCATTTAAAACTACACAACGTACAGTTGAAAGTATGTAATGTTGAGCTATGATAGCACGATGTTATATCATAATAATATCACGATAGGCTTGCCATACAATATGCTCATTCAAAACTACACGACGTACAGTTGAAAGTACGTGTTGTTGAGCTAAGATAGCACGATGTTATATCATTATGACGTCACGAGAGGCTTATCATACAATGTGTTGACTTGAAACTACACGATGTAAATTTGAAGTAGTTTGGTCTTGACTTGAAACAGTAAAATGTTAAGTTATAAAAACAGAACTTAAAGTCAAAATAAAACAATGATAGGATGACATATACTTGTGCAGAATTGAAGATTTTTGGTGTTGACTTCGAATATAGTACAAATATTAGATCGTTTTATGTTAAATTGAAAGACAATAATGATGCGTAAAACATTACAGAATTATGTGAATTGAAACTGCAATTCTATGGAAAAGAATGAGGGACAAATCCCCAGGATTTTTTCTTCTTCATTTGCAAGTTCGGCGGCAAAATGATATACAAAGAAAGTTTTCCATAAATTGATAAAGCAAAAGAATTACCCATCGCTATATATTACACTTGAATATAGTTTTGCCGTATATTTTACATGTTTTGTTTGGATTTTTTTTTTTTTATGATTAAAAACCAGACTTTTTTTATGAACAATATTTAAGAAAATATTTATCTATGTTGTGTGTTAATATATACAACATAATATTGTGCTTATAAGACTCATGATTGTGAGGGTCAAATTTTACTCATATAAAATCACATCTATGTAAGAGTTAGCGGAGAATTTGTATTTACCACTCCCGTTTTCCACGATATAAAACATAAGAATCTGGAGTCTTAATCTTAAAAAAACAAAGATCAACTGATATGACAAATAATACGATTATAGCGCAGGACTGAGAATGTGACCCCCGGTCTTGTTAGAGGTATCTGAAAATTTGAATTTTCTTTTCCATGAAATAAAACAAAAGAATCTGGACTTAATCAAAAGCGATGCGATTACGATTTCCATAGAATGTCAGAGACATTGTGTCGACTAGTTCGTTGAAAATTCGGCTAGGCAAGTAAAGTATGTCTTGTAACAAAGAAGGGTTTATTCATATTCATATCACACTTACATGTTCTCGTCCTGATATGCATGTAATATTTGCCACTGTACGTAAAACGCACCCCTTTTCCCCGAAATAAAACCAAAAAATCTGGACTTAATCAAAACCGATGCTATTTGGATTTCCATAGATTGTCAGAGTCGGTTTGTCAACTAGTTTGTTAAAAATTCGGCTAAGCAAGCAAAATATGTCTTGTACAGAGCCAAGATTTATTCATATTCATATTACACTTACATATTCTAGTCCTTATAGACATGTAATATTTGCCACTGTACACTAAATACAAATACATTTTCATCAATTCTTTTTTATGAAAAGGAGCCTATCTTAAGCACGTTCATCGATTTGACACCCTGTAGTTCATGTTTTTTTTGGGATTTCCTCGAAAATTATAACACATTCCTTCTTTATTTGCAAAATCGCCAAGTGACGGTTGCCACATATGAAACAGGATCTGCTTACCCTTCTGGAGCACCTGAGATCACCCCTTTTTTGAGGGTTTCGTGATGCTCAGTTTTTGGTTTTCTATATGTTGCGCTTAATATACTGTTGTTTGGTTTTTTATCTTTTTTCTCTCGTTTATTTCGGCTCATGAGTTTTTGTCATGACATTGTCAGTTTGGTTAAGATTTTTACTATCCCTTTTGTATCTTTCGCCTTCTTTTATCCATTTTTGTGTATTTTTTTTTTCGATTCTCCCCTCCCCCTGAACAGTATAATAGATAGATAAATGAAAACAGAAACCCTTTTCAACAAAAGGAGATCTACAAGTAACTCGACGTGACCGAAATTGTAAATTTCTTCCTCATTAGACATATTGCCCTTGGGGTAGATCGAGTGTCTTCCGCCATCTTAGGGAGCTACCATGTGATTTTTATTGGGGGCTAGAATGAAATTTGAAAAAAGGCAGGACAGGAATTTTGTGTAAAATAAAGGCAGGATGAGCAACTTGGCAAAAAAAAGGCAGGATGACAATTTATGTAAAAACAAGAGGCTCTCAAGTGCCTGAATCGCTCACCTGTATTTCAGAAGAGAAGATTTTTAAATGTTAGCAAACTTGATGAACAAATTGTGTAAAATTGTCTTTAAAGGGCAATAACTCCTTAAGGGGTCAATTGACTATTTTGGTCATATTAACTTTTTTGTAGATCTTACTTTGCTGAACATTATTGCTGCTTACAGTTTATATATATCTATAATGATATTCAAAATAATAACAAAAAACTGCAAAATTTTGTTAAAACTACCAATTCGGTGGCAGCAACCCAACAATGGGTTGTTCGATTCGTCTGATAATTTCAGGGCCGATAGATCTTTACCAATTAAACAATTTTTCCCCATGTCACATTTGCTCTAAAAGCTTTAGTTTTTGAGATATAAGCCAAAAACTGCATTTGACCCCTATGTTCTATTTTTAGCCATGGCGGCCATGTTTGTCGATGGATCAAAACTTCGGATACAATATATAAACTAGATACCCTAAGGAACATTTAGTTAAAGTTTGAAGGTATTTGGCCCAGTAGATTCAGAGGAGAAGATTTTTGAAATAGTTTACGACGACCGACGACGACAGACGACGGACGACGACGGACGCCAAGTGATGGCATAAGCTCACATGGGGCCCGAAGGGCCCCGGTGAGCTAAAAAGTCAGAATAAACTAATAAAAAAAAGCAGGACCGAATAGAGTGAAAAATAAAAAGGCAGGACAGAGATTACAACTAAAAAAAAGGCAGGACAAAATTTTTCGTCCTAGCACCCCCCCCTAAAAATCACATGGTAGCTCCCTTAGATTCTCATATAACTCAACACAATCGGTCTAGATCGAAAAAAATATACACATTTTGAGAGAGGAATGTTATTCATATGTAGTACTTTTCATCTTGATGAAGAAAATTGTGAGATTTATCTGATTAAAACGACTATTTGTTGTTGAATAAAAGAACGTTTTTGCATATTTTTTTTTATTTTTTGCCATGGCATTGTGAGTCTGTTTTCGACTTATGAGTTAGAAATCCCTTTGGCATATTTCGTCTCTAATGATGGAATGTGTAGGGACTTTATCTATTTTGTTTTGTAGACAGAAAACGAGTCTCGTGATCCCAATTTTTATTTTTATTTTCTAACATTGAGTTTTCCATGTATAGTTTATACAAAATCTGACAATACTGCATAACCTGTAGCGTGCAAAATATACTGTGGCCCAAACTTTTTATTATGTTTTTCAAAAAAGAATAAACTACATTTTGGCAAATGATAAACCGATTTTAATTTAGACCACACCCATGAAATCCATAAGAGAGAGAGAAACTGTTGATACCAAAATAATTCATGGACTTTAACAATTTTTACAGATTTTTGATTTTTTTCTTTTTCTTTGAAAACACATATAGATAGAGAGAAGCTGTAAAGAACCAAGAAAATCACTATGGACAAGAAAATAAGTGACGGAAATCATTAATTGGCTTCTTATTATAAGTTTTAGGGGTCATTGTCCATTAATGACTTTACAATTTAAAAAAAATAAAATATTCTCCGAGTGGATATATACACACACCTGGGTACTATCTTACTTGGTCCTGGAAAAATGGTTGGCACTGCTGTAAATGATGTATTTTTTTTGAAAGTTGACGATTTAGACTGGAGGCTCTAGGTCAAATTTCATTAGGTTTCATATAGACCATGTATGAGCGAAAAGTAACAGAATCTACCATACTTTATGTTTGGGTTGGCCCCATGCAGTAGGATTCAATCACCTATTAATTCTTTTTGTTTTATTTCGTGGAAAAGAAAATTCAAATTTTCAGATACCTCTAAACAAGGCCGGGGGTGGGTGTCACGTTCTCATATAGCTCTGACCCTCTCAGTCCTACGCTTTACAGTATTATTTGTCATATCAGTTGATCTTTGTTTTTTAAGATTAAGACTCCAGATTCTTATGTTTTATTTCGTGGAAAACGGGAGAGGTAAATACAAATTCTCCGTTAACTCTTACATAGATGTGATTTTATATGAGTAAAATTTGACCCTCACAGTCATGAGTCTTATAAGCACAATATTATGTTGTATATATTAACACACAACATAGATAAATATTTTCTTAAATATTGTTCATAAAAAAAAGTCTGGTTTTTAATCATAAAAAAAAAATCCAAACAAAACATGTAAAATATACGGCAAAACTATATTCAAGTGTAATATATAGCGATGGGTAATGCTTTTGCTTTATGAATTTGTGGAAAACTTTCTTTGTATATCATTTTGCCTCCGAACTTGAAAATGAAGAAGAAAAAATCCTGGGGATTTGTCCCTCATTCTTTTCCATAGAATTGCAGTTTCAATTCACATAATTCTGTAATGTTTTACGCATCATTATTGTCTTTCAATTTAACATAAAACGATCTAATATTTGTACTATATTCGAAGTCAACACCAAAAATCTTCAATTCTGCACAAGTATATGTCATCCTATCATTGTTTTATTTTGACTTTAAGTTCTGTTTTTATAACTTAACATTTTACTGTTTCAAGTCAAGACCAAACTACTTCAAATTTACATCGTGTAGTTTCAAGTCAACACATTGTATGATAAGCCTCTCGTGACGTCATAATGATATAACATCGTGCTATCTTAGCTCAACGACACGTACTTTCAACTGTACGTCGTGTAGTTTTGAATGAGCATATTGTATGGCAAGCCTATCGTGATATTATTATGATATAACATCGTGCTATTATAGCTCAACATCACATACTTTCAACTGTACGTTGTGTAGTTTTAAATGAGCATATTGTATGATAAGCCTATCGTGACATTCAAATGATATAACAACATGCTATCTTAGCATAACATCACCTAGTTTCAACTGAAAATCATGTAGTTTTAAATGAGCATATCGTGTGGTAAGCCTATCGTGACATTCTAATGATATAACAAAGTGCTATCTTAGCTTAACACCACGAACTTTCAGCTGTACGTGGTGTAATTTTAGATGAGCAAATTGTATAATAAGCCTATCGTGACATTATAATGATATAACATCGTGCTATCGTAGCTGAACAACACGTACTTTCAACTGTACGTCGTGTAGTTTTGAATGAGCATATTGTATGGCAAGCCTATCGTGATATTATTATGATATAAGATATTGCTATCATAGCTCAACATTACGTACATTCAACTGTACGTCGTGTAGTTTTAAACGAGCATATCGTGTGGTAAGCCTATCGTGACATTATAAGGATATAACATCGTGCTATCGTAGTTTAGCATTACAAAATATCAACTGTACGTCCTGTAGTTTCCAGTGAGCATCTTAGCTTAACACGTTGCATCGTGTTGTTTTAAGTCAACAAATTGTATGGTAAACCTTTCGTTTCAATATAGTGGTGTAGCATCGTGTTATCTTAACTTAACATCATGTACTTTCAACTGTGCATCATGGTGTTGTAAATCAACAGATTGCATGATAGACCAATCGTAATATCACAATGATATAACATCGTACTATCTCAGCTCAACATTTATTAATAACAAGTCAGCACCATACATTTTAGCTATTCATTTTATTTGTTATCATAGCTGTCGATATGGATGACTAAGCAGTATCAATCTGCAAGCTAACATCATGCAACGTCAACTTTACATCATGTACTTTAAACCCAACGTTACGCGTGTTTGGCATATCATCACAACATCGTGACTTATCATTATACTATCACGACTAAAGCACTTGTCATTGCAAGTCAACATTGCGCAATTCAACTTAGCATATTGTAATTTAGAGTTAGCATTTTGGTGAATCAATTCAACATCACGCTGTCTTAACTTTACATTTTAAGCTTCAGCATAACGTTTTGTAAATCTCTAATATATGACAGCTGAGGCTTTCCATAAAATGGGACGTTACAAGTTGTTTGTTTGTGGTACGCCAATATGCAGTGTCTGAAAATTGACTTAAAGACAAAAAAATGAATTAATATGAGCAAGTTCATTGTTGAAGGCCGTACGGTGACCTATAGTTGTTAATTTCTGTGTCATTTGGTCTCTTGAGGCAATCATACCACATCTTTTTATAATAATTTATTGTTAAGATCGTTTCTAGAACAAATAAGTTAATCTGACAATATTTTATTAAAATCATTTCCTTTTTATGATTTATATATAATTAATCGTTCAAAAAAAAATTTCTTTGCGAATTCATACAACTTAATGTCTAAATCATTTAGCTGTTTAATTTTACTAATTTGTGCTTCAGTCAAACTGTAAATAGCATTTTCTGCATACGTGTTAGTGTGTTGCTCAAATAAATGTTTAAATCTTATATCAAATGTCATTTCAAAAAGAAGTTGTGTTTCTAGTTGATATTCCGTTAATCCAAAAAATGCCATGTTCTTTAAATTTTCTAAAGCACTTTTCAATATTTTTGTTTGTCTTTCTTTAGAAGTCATCCCAGTCGAATTATAACAGTTAACTAAACTTAGGTTAGCTAACATCCGGGTTTGTCGATTAATTGCTAGGTTCGATTTACAACCAATGAAATTTTCAAAGATTAATTTCTTCCATTTTTGTCCAGTATAACAAGACGGGACCTCTTTTGAAGATGCCTTCCGTCCATCGCAGAACAGCAAAGAAGGCCATGTCATCTCCTTTCGTTGAACTTCTTTCCATTCGCTGATATATCTTTTAACTGGGTCTCGTAAAATAGTTATGTAATGTAATCTGAAAAAAATTATGATTCTTTATCTAGGTTAAATACTATTGTTATTTGATAAGCATTGCGAATATTGTAAGTTCAGAATTTTTTGTATGCATTTTGTTTTTCGAATGTTGAAAGAGATTGTGGATGGGGTTTACAGAACAGACAATAATAGGCCTCAAAAAAGAAAAGATACTCTCCCAATCATTAACCTCTTGAATAAGGTAGACAAAATTGTGATTGAGATTATAACGATGTTATTAAAATATATTCCGGCCTGATACGAATATGAAAATTAGCCTTGCCCAAGACGTAATGAAAGCAAATAGTTTGCATAACAAAATATGGGAAAAAAATGTGAACATAGCTGAAAATAAATTTTCGCTAAGGAAATTTGCGCCAAAAAAAAAAAAAAAAAAAATAGAACTTTCAACAGGCGAAATGAAAATTCCGTCCGCAAACAATCTTCCTGATCCCTCCGAGAAAATCAAACGGTCGTCCCCGTCTTAAAATAACATAAGCTTTAAGAGACCTTATAAAAAAATATGATATTAATAATGAAAAATAGCATTATTGGTCTACAAACTGAAGTATTACAAAAGCAAGTATTTTTTTTCGTAAAGAAAATTAAAATGTGTGCGAAAAATTTAAATCAAAAGTTATATATTAGCTCGTCCTTAATGTGAATGCAATATTTGCTACTGGACGTTATAAGCAAGCAACAATCAATCACTCTTTGACACATCATAAATAGTCACGGAGATTTATAATCAAGACATTTGAAAAAATGCTTATTCCTAATTTTGAAATACTGAGCACATTCAAGTACATGTAATCAAAATATCGTGGTAAAATTTTATTTTATTTAATTTATTTTTATTATTTTTATTTACTTTATTTATTTTTGCTACCTGGACTGATCATTTAAGCGGGGTTTGTTTTATCGTATACGTGCTCAGCCTCATGACAATCTTATCTCATTTGATCCTTGGCCTATCAACATTCAAATAAAACAAAATAGCAATTTGGTGCTTCCGAAGAGCTTTTCTTGACAAGCTTTCTTCACAAACGCTCAAGCCCAACATATGAAAATCAGGGATGTATAAACACATAGGAAGGTTAGGAGCTCTATGACTAAAAGTGACCTAATAAGAAAAACCAAATTTATCTTATTCAACTTTGCCTGGGGGTGTTATTATGTAAATAGTTGTGTTTATCTCTGTACTTTTATTCATACACACTTTACAAAAATGTGTGAACCAGACTAATGTGTCTATTAAATGAATATATTTGAAAATAATAGTCTGTCTATATTAAAAAAAATACATCTCAGATATTATGTTTCAACTTGTAATAAGGGATTTTACAAAATCCCTAGCGATATTTTCTGTGATTTTATACGGAGGTCAGTTTGATCAAGAATCGAATTGTTTGAACCTGCAGATGACCAGACAACATTTTGTTTTTGAGTTAATTGCTAAGGAAGCCAACACGATTTTTGTAATTAGATGTAATTTTACATCCAGATAGTCAAAACTGAGATAAAATTGAGAATGGAAACGGGGATTGTGTCAAAGAGACAACAACCCGACCAAAGAGCAGAAAACAGCCCAGGCCACTAATTGGTCTTCAACACAGCGAGAAAATCCCGCACCCATAGGCGGGCTACAGCTGGCTCCTAAAAAAAATGTGTACTAGTTCAGCGAAAATGGACGTTACACTTAACTCCGAAACATATAAATGAATCAAAATAAAAAAAAAACATACAAGACTAACAAACGTCAGAGGCTCCTGACTTGGGACAGGCGCAAAAATCCGACAGGGTTAAACATGTTTTGTGAGATCTCAACCCTTCCCTTTACCTCTAGCCAATGTAGAATAAACAAACACACAGCAATACGCATAATAAACTCAGTTTAAAAGAAGTCCGAGTCCGATGTCAGAATAGGTAACAGAAGAAACTAAGCAAAATGACAATGATACATAAATTAACAAAGGACTACTAGCAGTTACTGACATGCCAGCTCCAGACCTCAATTAAACTGATAGAAAGATTATGTCTTCATCATATGAAAATCAAGCACAATCCCTTCCGCAGGGGTTTAGTATCATACCATCATAAAATATGAGAAGAGCATAACCGGTATCATGCCAACAACTGGTTTTAGAATACATGTGTTTATTTCCGATGCAAAGACCCTATGAGTGAATCAATGCTAATTAAAAAACCCATCTTTAATGACCTGACAACAGTATCGTAACTATATCCCTTCTGAATACTAAGTAAGTCTGTTTAAAGGTTTGGTTAGCTTTTGAGGTGACAAGGGGACGTCACAATCTAAAAATGGTTTTTATTCTTTCATTCACATAACGTTCACAGAATACAAGATGTAATGAATTCGTCTCAAATATGTAATATAACTGACAACTACTGATGTATATTATAGTGACCACACTGTATGCTTGCGTCTTGTACAACACTGATACAATTAATTTGATAAGAAAAGTCAGATTGCGATTCCCAGTGATGTGAATCCGGCGGCGATAGTAGATTATATTTTCATATTAAGCTTTGTATTTTAGTAGGTAAAATACCATGATGTTTCATACCTTATAAACATATTCCTTATGTTCTGACGTTTTTAGGAAACTGTAACCGGTATATGTGATCCCTGCAAGGGACAGACAGGGTTCATCTGACCTTGAACTTATTCCATGGATCAGTGATTAAGGATAAGTTTTCGTTGTAATTCCATATATAAGATACTAAAAGCAATATATCTAGTGTAAGATATTATTTTAAATTGTACGTTGTCAATCTGGCAGGGTTGACCTGACCTTAACCTCATTCATTGTCCATCGTTCAGCAATAGGGTTTTTGTTATTTGGTCTGTTTAATGGAAACTGTAAGCAATAAGGCAACTTTATTTGTTATATGAAATGCATGCAAAGTGTACATTTTCGACAGACAGGATTCATTTGACCTTTACCAATTTTCATGGTTCATTTGTCAAAATTAAGTTGTCACGTCCGCTTCTCAGATCAGTAGTCATGTCTGTCTGGCAGGGTTTATTTGACCATCACCTCATTTGCATGGATCATTGATAATGTTTGGTTTGTGTGATACGTGTAGTAGAACCTTTATCTTTTAAAACTTTCAACATAAGATAAATCATTATCAGTAGAGCAGGCGAGACATCTTAGCATGTGCACACTTGTTGAACGTATTACGCCTATTTCCAAGACAATTTTCTGGAATAACCGTCGTCAGGTGCAAACTATATATCAGGTTTAATGGTGTCTTTTAGACATTTTACCAATCGGCATCTAGTGGTACTCTAAATTTTTATAATGTATCATTTATGTAAGTGTATGTGTTTTGATAGCAGTATGATATAAATAAGGAGATGTGGACAATGACACAACTATATCTTAAGACCAAAGGTCAAGGATGTTACTCATACGACCTTCAACAATGCGAAATCGCATATCCGTAAATTAATTTATTAAAGGTGCCGAGATGATACAATTTGAAACAATTCAAATTGTATCAAGATTGAAAGATTATGTCCTCATCATATGAAAGATAAGTCAGATTGCGATTGCAAGTGATGCGAATCCGGTGGCATCTTCAACTTCAGGGAGATTAGGGAAACAGTGTTCAACCATACAAAAACATTAAAAATAAGCTTATTACATTTACGTTGCATGCTGCAAATAGAAAAATAAAAAGATGTGGTATGCTTGATCTTTACTAGAGACCAAATGACATGGAAATTAACAACTATAGATCACCGTATACCAAGATATAAAAAAAGGCCTAAATTATACTATAACAATAAATGAAAAACAGTTATGACCTAAAGCAGTCAAAGACAAACAAAAACAAATCCTATATCCTAAGTGGGAGTGCTCTGATATATAACGGAGGATCATACCTGTACAGAACAGAACAAACACTGGATTACTTGCTCCTGGTTATGGCTTCACAAAGATAGGTTAATTTACCAACGAAGTTTACGAGTATTTTAGAAACGTGTCGGAATCTTTCCGCACCGACATCCGATCACCGGTTTTAAGAGGTCTTTTGTGTAAAGGTCTGAAAATGGAGTCAACGCGCACCAGACCTGTCAGTTTGTAGATTTTAAGTAGGTTTGTGTACAGTTCAAAAAAGTTTGACGAGCTTGTTATTCTAGAAAAGGTTGAAAAGAAATCTGCAAAGGTGAATATGTGTAATGTCGACAAACTCAAATTCGAACCAATCAATTCGTCCAAAGTTATTTTGTCAATTCGTTCCAACTTCAGGGAGATTAGGGAAACAGTGTTCAACCATACAAAAACATTAAAAATAAGCTTATTACATTTACGTTGCATGCTGCAAATAGAAAAATAAAAAGATGTGGTATGCTTGATCTTTACTAGAGACCAAATGACATAGAAATTAACAACTATAGATCACCGTACGGCCTTCAAAAATGAGCAAAACCCATACAACATAGTCAGCTATAAAAGGCCCCGAAATGTCAAATGTAAAAAATTCAAACGAGAAAAACCACGGCCTGATTTATGTAAAAAACATCAAACGAAAAAAAAATGATATAAAGCAACAAACAACAACCACTGAACTACAGGGTTCTGATTTTGGATAGGCATATACATAATGTGGCGGGATTAAACATGTTTGCTCGCGCCAACCCCCACCCCCCCTTTCCTTACCTGAAACAGTGATGTTATAGTAAAACAAAAGAACAAAATCAGTTGTCAAACAGGGCTTATCTCATCAGATCGATACAAAGCACAAAAAACTAAAAAAGACACAAAAGCCACAAAGTACAGATCTGAGAGTACTCGAAGTTACTGAAATGTATCTCAAACACTATAACAACTAATAAAAAGAATCATGAATCTAAGACTAAAATATCAATCAGTACATATCCAACATCCAATGGATTTAGTTTCATAAACAGTCAGAAAAAATTATGACCTTGTGCAATGCCAAAATATAGGTATCGATAGATTGTAA